CTATTTGGCCCCCCTGGGTGCGGCAAGACCATGCTCGCGAAGGCACTGGCGAAGGAGAGCGGCGCGACCTTTATCAATATCGCGGCGAGCGTCCTCACAAACAAGTGGTTCGGAGAGTCCAACAAGCTCGTCGCGGCCCTGTTCAAGCTCGCGCGCAAGACGCAGCCGTGCATCATCTTCATCGATGAGATCGACTCGTTCCTCCGGGAGCGGAGCAGCGGGGACCACGAGGTGACGGGGATGATGAAGGCCGAGTTCATGATGTGCGTCCCTCCAATGCCATTGAATTTCCCCGTACAGTGGGCTGACTACGACGCAGACAATGGGACGGCCTACTCTCGAGCACAGACCGCATCCTTGTCCTGGGTGCGACAAATCGGCCGAACGATATTGACTCCGCGATCCTGCGGCGGATGCCCAAGCGCTATGCCGTGCCTCTACCGAATCTTGAGCAGCGTCTGAATATCCTCTCGCTCGTACGTCTCCCCACCGTTTTGCAGCGCCACCCACTCACAGCGCATCGCAGATGCTGCAAGAGACCCCGCTGGCCCCCGACTTCCCGATGGCGACGCTCGCAGAGCTTTCCTCCGGCCAGTCGGGCTCCGACCTGCGCGAGATGTGTCGGAACGCGGCGATGGTGCCCGTGCGCGAGTTCGTGCGCACCACGAAGGGCGACAAGGGGCTGTTGGAGCTGGGCCAGCTCGAGGTGTGCTTTTATATCTTTTCCTCCGCACGCGGCGCTGATTGATTGACTTGGGCTCCAGGGATTCCGCCTCCGGCCATTGACGATCGACGACTTTTTTGCCCCGAACGATGCGACGAGCGCGTTGCCTGCGGCCGTACCAATTGTGCCCCGGCTGCCCGTGGATATGGACGACCGGTCACGACTGGACGAGATGGATTAGAGCCATCCTCATTTGACTATTTATAGATTTTAAGATGTACCCTCTCTAACAGTCTATCGCGTATTTAGATTTGTACTACTTTCGACTACACACTACGAATGTAGTACCCCACCCACTCAAAAATAATAATATAAAGATCTTGTATGTCGGCATCATTCGAGTCGTGTTCACTGTCATGTTACGTATACATAATCCTACATGCTTTCTACTTACTTCTCTTACGATTTCGTGAAACCTTTGTGCAATTCGAACACCCTAATCTCGCGACGGATTGCATAGTTTCTGACCCGCTGAGCCCATTCAGTGCCCCTCGCATGTTTCATCTCGGCGCTTTCCTCGAAATCTTTGTTGTCAATTTCGTGGATGGCGAGATACTTGCACGCAGGTTGATCAGGCGCGTTGCCTATCAGTTGGGCGGAGTCCACGAGCTTGTACCGCCTTCCTCTTTTCCATCCTGGGATTCGAGAAATCAAGTCCATGTGCTCCTCGTCGTACCTGCCAATCACGTCGAGTCGGTAACGCAAGAATTAGACCGATACTATGTGCGCACCATTTGTTGAAGTCCTCCTCGTTCTCGGGGGCGATCTCGTAGCTCACCACCATCACGTACTTCCCAGGCAGTGCCGCGGCGGTCGTCTCAGGATGCACGGTGGTGCTGATAAGGGTGTATGTGCGGCGACCGAGGCCGCTGAATTTGGCCATGATCGCTCTCTCGTTGTCGGACGCGAGAGATGGCATTGCCTTGTATTCCGGAGAGTCGAGCACGGAGAGCCCCGAGACGTCGTACAGCGCGAGCCATGTGGGAATTTGAGAATCGATGGCTTTGTATCGGGCGACTGCCTCCTACATCGATGTGTTAAGTGCATATCTCGGCAGCGCAAGCCCGCAGACTTACGAATCCGGGGACAGTCAACCTGAGGGGAATGTGCTCGCCGTCGTACCAATCTGTTTCGGTATTGGGGCGATCCGACTTTGTCTACGATTGATAAGACTCACCATGCAGGTCGCTCTCCTTGACATCTGGCCCAGGTTCGACGTAAACAAAGAGAAGACCTTGCTTTTCTTTCGCTTCGGCCATCGAACGTAGTATGAGGCGCAAGAAGGTCGACCCCTTCCACGCTTACTAACAATGCTCGTCATTGGCACGCCTTCTCTGAGAGTTGAAATAATCGTTATCCGCTCAATGTCTGCGCCCGCAACTAGGAGCAAAGACTAGATTTCTTTTACTTGGTGCTACTGGTATGCTGGAGAAATTTGCCTCGAGGGGTCCTGCCAATTTAATGACGTTCAGGTTACATCGGAGGCACTGCTCACACGCTTCCTCGAGCATCCAGATGCCGCGAATTTCGAGTTCACGCTTCTCGTCCGGGATTTCCAAAAGGCAGAGAAACTGAAAAGTCTAGGACTTGATGCCGTGGTCGGTTCGCTCTAGGACACCGACTTGCTCGAGAAGCTGGCCAGTGAGGTTGAGGCTCTCGTCGCTGCTTGGTCGCTGCGGTTTGTTTATTCAGGCTTCGGAATCGTGTCGACTGGGGTTGAATGTCTTCAAATCCTATTTTAGGCCGATATCGATGATATTGTTGCGGCCAAGGCGACTTTAAAGGGATCCAAGAAACGATATGATGCTCTAGGTGTTCCCCAGACGTTTATTAATACCGTGAGTTTGTCGTCCGGTCAAACTAAACCGAGTTCTCATTACTACTGAAAGTCTGGAACCGGTTTGCAACTTCGTAGGTCAGACAGTCGCGTACTGACAATGGATCTAGGGGTTTTGAGGGACAATGCAAGAGGCATGTTCGTCGGCGAAACAATATACGACGATACGGACGCTGATCAAATCGAGAGCCTTTCCCCGGCCCAACCTCATAGGAACGTTGATCTCGAAATCATTAATGCGGATAAAGACGGTACAGTTCCTATCCTCGCATCTCCCATCGAACGATGGTTTGAATTCCTGATAGGTTACATCAAAAGCTATATCATTCTTCTCCCAACCGTATATCGTCTAGCCGGTGGAATTTAGTGGATATGGGGCTCCAGAATAATCACTCCAGTCAGGTGCCCTCTCTCATGATTGCGGCCAGTCGATCGTGGACAGAATGGAACAATTGGAGAAGGAAAAATATGTGGCCCAACGTCGAAATCCACGAGCGTGCGTGTAGACTGCGTTTCGGTGTGGAGAAATTCACTCATCTCTACCACTCGGCGATCTTTACTTCAAACTATACGACTCCATCGTGTCGAATCCTGCAACTGGACATGGCCGCAACGGGATTTATTTCGGCGTCAACGGGGAACACCAGATGTATGATCTTGCCAGGGCAATAGCGGAAACCCTCGTCGCTCTTCGGGCCTCATACTCGACGCTGGCTCTATTCACTCAGGAAGAAATACAGAAATATATCAAGGTACGTTATGTTCCCAAATTTTAACAATTCGCCATGCTTCTTTCGATGAAGGGCTCCGAAAACCTTGGTACAAATTCACGTTGCATTGCTAAACGATCTTACTCGATTGGATGGGCGCCGGTCAAAACAACGAAAGATCTGGTTGCTAGCATTTATCCAGAGGTCCAGGCTCTGCTGGAACGGCGGAAATCGATGCCTGAAAAGTAGTATTCCCACAGACTTTCATGTCATCGGATGTCCCTAAACGACGTCTCCTCAACCGAGCTTTATTATTCAAATCGTCGGCTTGAGACGCCGAAATATAGTATGGCAATTTTGACCTCAGTCCCTCAGGCCCGCCATCAATTATACGCGGTCGAACAGGGACATGACACATAGTGCCTTGTTGCCATTCTTCTTCGCGGCATGGGTACTCATCTCTAATAGAGTCTTAGGCGTTTCATTCAATTACGCGGTGCGCTCAGGTCTATCATTCAAATATATGCCCCTCTACATACAGTGAGCGCTGCCACGCCTGGACGCCGGATGTATCCCCAGGAAGGCAGCAAGACCCGCGCTTGCGGTCTGTGGCTCGCATAAAAGGAGCACACTGAAGGCATTGGAACACACGCAAGACAATGAAGTACTTCTCCGTTCTCGCTCTGTTCTCTGCTCTTGGCTCCCTGTGTCTCGCACAGGAAGCCTTCCCTGGGGCTACATTCAACATCTCGACTAACTTCACCGGCTTGAGCGAATCCGCCAATCTATCTACTACTCAAACCTTTGCTGTAAGTAGCCATTGACTCCACGATCCAGCCTCTCTTTAAATTCCTTTGTCTTGGTTTCCACGTTCGACAGACAATCTCTGGTACGATCCTCCGACGCGAAACCGACCTCATCGCCACCCGGCAGGAAGGCGTCTGGTCCAAGCCCCCGGCGCAATTTGTCGTGCTCACCCCATTTGGCAACTACTCCACGAGCGGTACTACCGGGGTGACCTTCTCCAACTTCAGCATCGCCGATGGTGCTACGGTACGTCTCCCAACGCAATTCGAGGAAACGTGGTTCACGCTGGATGTACTTCGTAGATTGATCTTCGGTTGGGGATCCAAGGCCGGGCCAGCGTTGTTCCGAACATCCTGTTCAATGTGTCGCACCTTAGCCCGTGCTCTGCTATTTGGACAGTGTGAGTGGATTCACGTGTATTCCTGTACTCATTTATTCACGGTGGATTCTCAGTTCGGGCGACATCGATTCGGTCGTCTACACATACGATGGGTTGGTTTGTTGAGCACGACGAAGAATATATGGACGCCAGTCGTTTATGAGACAATTGATATGGGTTGAAAGATATATATGATCATGTAGCCATTGTTGTCAAAAAAAGATGTGGTTCAAACGATAGAATACGGAAGCCTGATGGATATCAAACAGAGAGCTTGGCACACCATGTCGCGGGATTAATTCTGGTTCCCATTTACGCGTTCAACGTTCCTTGGCGGGGAACACGGTTCGAAATTGAACACGGTCACATGGATTTTGGTTCGAAATTCGAATTGATCTCGAGTTGAACTTGATTCGTAGTCACTAGCAGCTTGCAGGATCTTGCTTAAATATAGTTTGCCTAAAAGAAAGATTCTGGAGGAGCTGCACCATATTTACTAAGTACTGGACATAGTAATATGGACATTGAGGACCCGCTCCCCATGGTTCGATGGTGTAGTTGGTTTATCACTTCTGTCTAACATCTTCCCAATTGGGCAGTAGTTCCACAGGCGGTCCTCAGTTCGAGCCTGGGTCGAATCATTTTTATTCCTTAGCATGTCCGCTTTTTACTTTTTCCAGCTGTAATCGCATCGATTATCGTTGATTTCAACTCAATTTCCAACGTAGATGTTTTATGGAATGGTCCACGTCAAGATCTAGGTTCAAAGCGAAAGATCTCCGAAAAGTGAACATAGTCATGTAGTAGGAAGTTGGTTGGTTTTTTGGTTTTGGTTTGGTTTTCATCGCAACGGAAACAGTAATCATTAACATGCGCTCCTGAACATGAATGTAATGCTTTTCTTGAAGGAATGGTACATTTTATATAACTACTGAATGTGAAAACCCATGGGATTATTTACGGCTGTTGCCCATATGCAGGCGGTAGGGTTCCTGACGAGTGCCTAAACAGTCCCGCATCCATGTGATGCTCGCGCATAAGGTGGTGGCCATTGAAAAATCCTGCCATTGTAGCGGCTGGCACTGTTAGATTAGCTACAATGTGTCATTTTTCCCGGGGTGGTATTTGGCCCGTTGGGAAGTAAGGAGGTATGAACGACACGGTTGATTGCGAGGACGTGCTATAAGGTTCCGTGATGAATATTCCGGTTCTTCGAGATCCTCGTCGGCGGCGCAAAATCCAGTAAGCGGCCAGGGCAGCCGCAATTAAACCAGTGGTGCCCATCACAACACCCACAATTATTCCCGTGCCCAGGGCCTTCTTTGCCTGGGGCACTGGACTGCTAGGCAGTGAGGTTGCAGATGTCGTGCCAGTGGGAAGTACCGAATTTATAGAAGCTGATGCAAGGTTGTTCCGGTCACAGGTCGTAAATGTGTTGTTCGCCTTAACGGCATTGTCTTCGTTCAAGGTGTCCCTTGAGTTCACACTATGCAGAATTGTAAAAATTGTGCCATTGAATGCAAAATAAGCTCACTAGAACCTACGGTCGTTGAGATGACGAATCCATCTTATGGAATTGAGGAGGACTCACCAAGACCCATCGCTCCAGGCGTCTGAGTACAATCCGTCAAAGATTTCGATCTTTTCATTGCACACCGCCGTCTGTATGTCTGCTGAAAAACTGGAAACAATATGTAAGAATCAACCGGTAGATGTATGATTTTGACACACTTGCGGTACACCGGAGCATAACAGTGTGATTTATGCGTGCCATCGTATGAAGCATTCCAGTAATCCTGGAGAAATCCGGCCCCTGGGATGTAAACTGAGAACTAGGGGTAACCTCGACAACTAAAGACTCACTTGCGTCGTATCCGCTACCTGTTCCGATGGGTTGCTGGCAGCTGCATGCATTGATTGAGTACAAAAATTCTCTTTATTTGTGAAACACTTCACTTCAAACATAACATGCTCAAGGAAAAGGCAATCGAGTTGCAACAACAACCAGCTAGCAGGATCAATTAGCCTGAATCATAAGAGCATTATAAAATACTGACCTTTTTGGTCAGTACACAAGTCGGGGGGGATACTGCTATTCATCTGTCCGACCTGGTCTGAAACTCGAATCAGGAATTTGTTCGACCAATGCCAGACGCAATTATGCGCACACTCAACGTTGCATATTTGGCGCAACCGTTCATAGGTCTTGCCTGTTAAATGTTCTCACTCACAGAACGGAGAGGGGTCAGAGAATTATACTCACAGGATGTCTCGCCGACCACTGCGATGTACCAGTCAAGCTGTGCTCCAGAACACGAGATGTTTCCTTCGCTGTGGACCCGGGCAGCAAGGGAAACAAAGGAGGAGATAAGAAGCAAAATATGCATGGAGGTGTGTGGATCCAGAGAACCAGGGGAAAAGGCGTGAACGCTGGCTGGCAGCAGTGCGAATGGAGTGTTGTGAAAACTGCAATATTATCCATGTTATTATTCGAAGTTTGCCCCATTCGTGTCTGTATTTTCTCGAGCTTCCATCGCTAGTAGCGCTACGGAGTCATTCAAATGGGGTTCATCTTGCATCAAAACTCATTTCCAGGAAGTAAGTTCTGGCAGAGCTGAGACGGTGTGTTTATCCTGAAATTAAACTTTAATAATAACAAGAGCGTGCCGGGGGCGCGGAGCGCCCCCGACACTTCGCCTCGGAGGTTCTGTCGTGGCACCACGTCTCTCCACGTTCAAATGGCAAACTCCGAAGCGGAGTATCGGACTTCGAAAAGGCTTCAGACAACATTATTTTATAAAGAGAGAGAACAGTATTCAACGCACCACGTGACATTATCGAGTATGCCTGGACACTTTAGTGATCCAGGTTCTTATGCACATTGAAATCGACGTAGATTTCCTTCCGGGGATAACATTTTTAAGCCAATAGGATGCTCAGAATGCATGTGACATAACTTTTTAAGCCAATAGGATGCTCAGGATGCATGTGACACGGACCGACCATTTCAGCCAATAGGATGCGCTGATACACGTGACACATTCGGTAAATAATCCCACTCATGAGGATTTCCGTGGCTTATAATTTGCGACCTTTATGGGTCCTTCGAGTACATGGGAAAAAATCTCTCTTCTTGAAACAGAAAGGCCAGAGCTGAGTCAGAATGGGGCGAAGGCTCCGCTTGAAAATGACGTAAGTTTCGATAATACGGCCCACCATATCCCACGTCTCCTTTCTCTCCCTGTCGCTTCCCTAACCCGAGAATGTGTTCCTAGCGATTACCGGCGGTGTTCCCTTTTCATGCTTAAGTTCCGCTTCCTATTTTACATTACCCTGCACTCACGGTCGCGTGAAGATCTTTCGCGTTTATGTTTTGTTATTTTAGTCACAGGCTCTTCGGAGCCTCAGACTCCAGAGAATCGATTTTCATCCAATGGTCCGAGTTGTCCGATCACCCAGGTTTAGTCAGCTTCGAGCAATGGTGTCAGTCCCAGATTCGGACAGAAGACAATATTCATATCTCTTTCTGGATTTGGCGAAGATATAACCTACAGGTCATGTAATCCTGGAGGACTCCGAGCGGGATGTAAACTAGGGTCTGCATGCACATCGTTGGATTTAAACATATTTAACAGTTTAGGGGCTATTTGTCTATATCCAATTTTCATTTTTTAATTAGATCGCCGCAGCACGGGCTGCCATCGGGTGCACCCATAAATCTCAACTCAAATATTCGGGCTATATCAAGTGTAATATCATGTCTGCACATGAGAAGGGGGTCCAGGCTTCGCCCGTAGGGCCATTACACTTGGAATCTTATCTTCTTATCTTTCAAAGTTTGCCAGTGTTTGATGCAAAAGTTTAGGCGGAAACCGGACGGGCCGCCACTTTGTCGCGGCATTGGAGCGCAAGGGGTACTCCGACCTCTCGCCCACCATGGCCAAATCGACAAGGTCAGTCAGCCCGACATCTGACTCCCCGCTCTGATCCAAATCCCCAGCTCGCCCCCCGCGAATTCGGTATTCACGTTCGGTGACTTCAAGGGAGACACTCTCTGATCAATTGCATCGCTAGGGACGTTACGAAGCGCTTCCCACCGACTCGGACGTTGAGCGACAGCAGAAAGCACTCCCCATTTGCAACGGACGACCGAAGCGCACGATTTTTCGTATCTTTGCTGTTTTCGCCCTGATTACAATGTTCTTTTCTGGGGTTCGCCATTTTTCACGTACCGGGCTGCCGAGGTGCATGGGGGGTCGCATACACCGCAACATGACGTCGCTGCCAACCCACTATACTCTCCCGTCGGGGGATAAGATCCCATCTGTCGCCCTGGGTGCGTACCTTCAGGGGTGATGTCTGAAAAGAAATTGAAAGTGTCATTAGGCGTGTGGCAGGCGGGAAAGAATGAAGTTGGCAACGCAGTCAAGGTATGCCGCGACTTGCCTCACCACATTCACTAGCTGATGGAGTTTAGACCGCGCTAAAGGCGGGCTATCGGCACATCGATGGCGCGTGGATCTATCGGGTAGGCCTTGCCTCAAAGATCTACCTCCACATCTGATTTGTCGCACCCGGTTCAGAACGAAGAAGAAGTAGGCCAAGCGCTTCGAGATAGCGGCGTACCGCGTAAGGATGTCTGGATTACCTCGAAGGTGCAACATCTGCGTTATGACTGCGAATATGCCTCTATATCAACATCCCCCCAGCTCTGGAATACATTCCACGAACCCGAAGACATCGAGCCTGCGCTCGACGACTCTCTCACCAAGCTCGGCACGGAATATCTCGACCTGTACCTCATCCACTGGTCAGTCGAGTTTTGTTCAATGCCGATCGTGTCATGATTTTCTTCCTCCTCGACACACAGGCCCTTTGCGAGGAAGGATGGGCAGCCATACGACAAGGACCTCACAGAAAACCCGTACCCCACCTGGAAAAAGCTCGAGGAGATGGTTAAAAAGGGCAAAATCCGAAATATCGGCGTTAGCAAGTGTGTAGTCGTTATATATATCCTTGGAGTTGTTATTGACACACGTCGCAACTCTGCAGCTTCAATATTCGCAGGTGCGTTAACCCCTCATATGGATAACGGAATTTATTCATTAGGAAACAGACTCGAAAATCTCACCACGAACCCGCTCAAGATCCAACCCGCAGTGAACCAGGTAGATATTGTGCCTGGCTAGCATCGAATTCATTAATTATGTCCTCGTAGGTTGAATTGAGCTACTGGATCCCCCAACCGGAGCTTCTCAAGGTTCGCAGGTCTTCATTTTAGATGTCCTTATTCCAATTCATTCCAGTGGGCAAAAGATCACAACATGCTCCTGGAGGCGTACTCGCCTCTCGGCAGCACGGGCAGGGTGGGAGACACACTCGCTGTCCCCGAGGTCAAAGAGATCGCACAGGAACTTTGCATAACACCGGCTCAGGTCGTGATTTCGTGGCACGTCCAACGCGGAGTGCGTCTGCCATTCTATCATATTTTCTTTTCGTGTGATGTTGATTGTTCGGATGATGCAGACCGTTGTGTTACCGAAGAGTGTTACGCCCTCGCGGGTCGTGGAAAACCTTCAAGTCCACCACCTCCCGCCGGCGCTTTTTGAGAAGCTCGAGAAGGCGGCCACGTCGCATAAGC